GTCTGGAGAGCTGGTGGGAAGGCTTCCCTGGCAAGGCCCCGATGGAACAGAGCTGACCTCGAGGGCCTGGCCATTGGTGCAGGACATTGCCCTCTTGAACCACCTGCACTTAGCTAATGTCTTGGTGTGCACGAAACGTTCACGCTGAATCTCCTCGTTCCCAGAATAACTCGGTGTCGCCCTCGGAAAGCCTCCGGGCCAGTGAGAAGCACCGGGGCTCCGCAGACTACAGCATGGAATCCAAGAAGCGGAAAGCAGAGGAGAAGGATAGTCTGAGCCGATACGTACGTCTGAAGGCCTAGTGGGCACCACTGGGTCTGTGCTGGGAGCTGGGGTTGTGGGAGAACACACAGGCCTGACTTGTGGGTGACTCAGAGGCACAGGTGGGGACAGGCTGGGTTGTCTGGTGTGTGTGTGTGGGGGGGGTGGAGACCATACACACACACGCTGTGCACATGGGCCACCACAGCCAGGAGGGAATGGATGAAGAGAGCAGAGGCGCCTCCCACAGCCGGGCCAGGGACCCCATGCTGCCATCACGGCCTTCCCAGAATCCTCGGTCTGCTCCGGGGGCCTTGCTGGCACCCCCACACTTTGACCGAGCGGCGTGGTCATGATATCTGCTCCGGGCCAAGCTGTGCGGGATGAGAGCTGGGACCGACAGAAGGGGGCTGTGCGGTGCTGGGCTCCACTTGGTCACCTTGCTGCTTGTGGCTTTGGATATGTCGCCCACATTTCCGGGCGAGAGGCTGATCACCACCACCACCACCACCCCCCCACCCCCCCCACACACACACAGCAGCAGAAATGATACAATGAGCCTAGCATACTTCCTTGTCCGCAATGGTGGGTATGAAGCCGGCTACAAGGAGCTGTGTGGCTCCAGAGAGACACGTTGGAGGGGGGGCTCAGAAATACCATAACAGGTGTCGGCAGGTATCGGTCAGGCTGCTAGTGGGCACGGAGCAGAGTGACCCGGAGCAGGGCTGGGGGGCTGGGCTGGGAGACAAGAGCCTGGGCTTTGGGGTATGGCCCAGGTTCAGATCCCGGATGCTGGAAACCGGCGGTGGTTCACGCCCCAACTGGGGTGTGGCGGGGGTGGCCTCCTTACTGGCTTGTCTCTCTCTTGCAGGACAGTGACGGGGACAAGAGTGATGATCTGGTGGTGGATGTTTCCAATGAGGTGAGCACAGGCCCAGGTGGCAGCGTGCTCGGCTTGGAACCCTTTTCCTGCCTAGGAGCTGTTGTGTCTCAGCTGCTGCACAGACATTACTGACATGCCTCGAGCAGGGCACCGAGGCTTCCGGGGCTGGGGCACCAGGCTGGTCAGGAGGAGGAGGACAGGGCTTTGCTGCCGGGTGGCTGGGGTTCCTTAGGATGGGAAACTCGGTTGGACAGTGCAGGTGTGCCCCAAGGATCCCAGGGGAGGGCCAGGTCCTCGAGGTCAGATCTGTTATCCCCATCACCCCTGGGATCTCGAGGGTAGGGGGTCGTGAGCCCCTCGGGACCAGTTTTGGCAGGGGACGAGGACTGGAGCGACCTACCCGAGGCCAGGAGACCCCACCGCCCAAATATGAGTCCTGAACTTGTGTTTGATCTTGGGCTGGTCACCACCCCCCACCCCCGCGCAGGCCCCTGTCTCCCCATCTGTGAGATGAAGGGGTGAGACCAGATCGTTAAGAACGAGTCGCCCCCACTTTGAGGCCCCCCAGTCTCTTCCAGCCAAGCTCCTCTGCCCAACAGCTGGCGTACTCCCTTCCCATTCCCAGAGCAGGGAGGACTCCAGGCTGCTTGTTGATTTCCACGCATCTCTGTGCTTGTGCTTTTAGGACCCAGCGACGCCGCGGGTCAGCCCAGCACACTCCCCTCCTGAGAATGGGCTGGACAAGGCCCGAGGCCTGAAGAAGGATGCCCCCACCAGCCCCGCCTCAGTGGCCTCGTCCAGCAGCACACCCTCCTCCAAGACCAAAGACCTTGGTCATGTATGTGGGGCCTGCCACTGGCACCCCAGAAGCAGGGGGCTGGGGCAGGTGGGGGTGGGGGCAGAAGTCTCTGGAAAAGAGGCCGGAGCGGTGATCACTGGAGGGCAGAGGGGTGGAGTACGAAGACCATGGATTGGGGTTTGGCCCTGGTGCCAGTCCTGGCTTTACCACTTACCGGCTGGGCCTCGGGCTGCCAGTTAATGTTTCTGAGCCTTGGTTGCCGCATCCATACGATGGGAGCAGTCAGTCACCCCAAGTCCCTGCCGCACAAGGTGGGGCAAGAATTGAGGGGCTGTCGGGCAGCTGGGTGTCGTGGCCAGCTCCAAGGGCCTGGCTCTGGGGAGAAAGGAATCTTCATGTCTTCCCTGTTCAGAATGACAAATCCTCTACCCCTGGGCTCAAGTCCAACACGCCTACTCCGAGGAACGATGCCCCGACTCCAGGCACCAGCACCACCCCAGGGCTCCGGTCGATGCCGGGCAAACCTCCAGGCATGGACCCGATAGGTATAATGGGTAGGC